GAAAATAAGAAATGTGTTTAAACCTGATTTAAAAGGTTTTATTGTGAAGTCAATTGAACACTGAAAACAAGTTGCCCAGAGAAACTGTGGATTTTCCATCCAAGACATTCAGAACTCCACAGGTGAAGGTCTTGCCCAACCTGCTGTAGCTGGACCCTGCTTTGAGCTGGGGTTGGAGTAGGTGATCTGCAGACATTCCCCTGACTTCAGCTACTTGGTGTTCTCTTCAATGGATTCAGCCTGTGTAACTTCATTATCACTTCTTGCCTCTCTACACACATGAGAAATGTAATGCCCTTTCCAGACTACCAGATACATACTGAAAAACAGGTCAGTTACATGGGCATTTGTGCTTTTATCAATGTTACAAATGAGGAAATGCCCTACAAGAGGAGTTTCGTGTAGTTTTATGTTCACCACATTTTTAGTAGCAGGTAAAGCATATATGCTGCTATTTCTAAACATTCAAAAAGAAATATGCACAATACTAACTTTATAAATGTTAAAGTAGAACTAAAAGTGTATTTAGCAATGAAAATAATAAATGAGCAAAGGGAAGTAGGTAAGTCTAATTATCAAAGGAGATAAAAACTAAATTGCACCTTCAGATGAGCCCACATGTGCTAGAATTCCAGAAGAAGCTGAAATTTTTGTGTTTGCTGACAGAGTAGCATTCCTCAATATCAATTACAGCTTCTCAGACTTCTATCCATGGAGTTTTATTCTTTCCAAAGATTCTGAAGAAGTTTTTACAAAGCAGAGCAAGTGCATTGTTTGGAAGACACCCTGAACAAAGGTAACCCTCAGAGCTGCAGCTTCCTTGGCAGAGTGGGGAATCACAGCTCAAAAGCTGAAGGTAGGAACCATCCCAAAGCAGAATAGGAATGTTTGGAAAACAGCGATGACTGAGGCCAGCCATTAACCCAGCCCTGCCAATCCCAGCACTGAACCACGTCCCTCAGTGACACATCTCCCGGAATTTTAAATTCCTCCACCAGCGTGACTCCATCACTGCCATGGGTGGCCAGTTCCATCAGTACTATCAAGACCAAGAAGCAGTTAATATTAGATTATTTTAAAACTTATTCAGTACCATCAGTTTTAAACAAGAAAATGCACAATTTACTGCAAAAAAATGAGTGTTTCTGCAGAGTTTCAAGAAAACTCCAATTATTTTATTCACAAAAGCAGAAGTCAATAAAAATATAGATATCCTGATCAGTTTTACAGACCATGTTAATTTCTTCTCTCCTTCACTGACAGGCAAAGCATCATGAAAAAAAAACACAAGCATTTACATCACAAACCATTATTAACACAGATTCATGTATATGAGCAAATATTACAGGTCCAACAAATATTCCTCTTTTTCCTTTTTTTTTTCTGTGCTGTAGTGCTTTTCAGTGGTGGCAAGAATATGTGCTAACTGGTATTTAACTAACAGTTTTTGGTAGAAACTGAAATGTATGAACTCACTGCATTCAGTTTTTTCTCTGAATTCCAAACCCATTTACAGGATTTATTGAGAATGTTTGTGCTATATTATTCAAGTGATGCCAAAAAAAAAAAAAAAGTCAACACTGCTACTAATAGCATCAGGAAGCTCATTTTTTATTATTTTTATGGAGCACCTCCCCAAAAAATACCTGAAGATATCCTCCTCATTCAAATCAAACTTCTGTCAGCTCAGTGTTTATGCAGGGAACTGGAGCAAAATCTTCCCTCTTCTAAAGATATAGAAATGTTCCCTAGAAATCAGCTTTGTTACATTTATACAAGTCTGGCTTTCAGGACCATGATGGAAGACAACAGAGATTAAGTACAAGGCCAATTACTCTTGGTTTGGTTTGCTGTGCTTTATTTTATTTTAATCTACCTGATAGGACTGAACCCCCATCTGGAAAAACTCTCACTGGAAGAAAGAAACCAAGTGCTAATTTTATTTCTTTATTCCACTTTTAACGCCTTTGAACTTTGTAGAGGTGAAAAATTTGTGAACTCTTCTATCATACAGACCTTGACAAAAATGTTTGTAGAACAGGTTACAAAACTACAAACCCAAACCTAGTTGAAAACAAAAACCAATCAGAAAATGCTGGCTTTTTCAAAAGCAAGTACTGAACTAGGAGGAAGAAACACTGTAGTACAGAAAGTTACTTTAAGGAAGGGCTGTCTTGTACAGAAACCAACCCCAAACTCATAATTATTACTGCTTTAATTCTGATGATCAAATCTACAATAAAATTCCAGGTTGCTTGCATGCAGAGTGCTCCTGCCTCTGCCTACCTCAACCCTGGGAGCATCACCACTGGGGGACAGTTTGCTCTTCTTTTAAAATCCAGAAAATCCAGTTTCACATAGAAACAATTCTTGCTATGTAAGTGCTACAAGAGATCATTTCTAACCCGCTGCTCCCCAGGACGTGACTGTTACCTCTCATACCTTTACCTCCTGTTCCTTAAAACATCCAGCAATAGATCATTGAAAAGCAGAACTCGTGCTTCACCCTGCGTGCCTGAGAGCAGCTGGCAGAGCTGCAAGCACTGGCTGCTGCCAGGGAAAGCCCCACTGTGCCCTCAGTGCAGCCTGGATCTGAAGGGGTGCAGCTGCACACACCTGTGCACAGGGACACACAGGTCTGCTCTGCCTGCCTGTGCCAGTGTCACATCTACAGGACACAAACGTCACTGAGTGCTGCAGGACAAAGAAATGAAACACCACAGTACTGCCAGCAAACTCAGGTTCTCTCCTGGAGGTTTCTGCAGCTCTGTGCTTGCTGCCATTACAGCCCTGTGCAGTCACACTCCCCCAGCCTACCCTCCCTGTGGCTCCCCTGCTCTCCTGGCCACACACAGCAATAGTGGGCACTGGCTCCTTTTCAAAAGCACAAAGTGGACAGTACCAGTCACCAGTACTTGGCATGACTCCAACACAATCTTCAAAATACAAATATTTAATAGAAAAATTTAATTTAATTTTACAAAATACAGATACAACACTACTCAATGTAGCAAAATAATGGAATTGAAAAATAATTTCAAAATATTTAAAGCATTAGGTTCTAAAATAAATAATGCTATCTAAAAGAAGTGTTCAGGTTTTGCAATTAGGAGGAGGCAGTTTCACTATTACTGATCTCTTCAACTTCTTTACAAGTTTCATAATTTATGTAGAAAAATATACAAGAAAAGAATTTGGGATAAAGAATAGGTTGAGCATGTAACATTTAACATAAATAAAAAGCCTAAAGCAAAACCAAAAAGAAAACCAATAATTTTATTTCTGTACATCAAGACTACAAATAGTATTTTAACACTTCATTTATTACCCAAATTAAGAAATTATACATTTTTATATGGTTACTAGTAAACATCTTAAAACCACTCAGTTCCCCCACATTTAAAAGGATATTGCTGGTTACTGCTTATTAAATAGGAAATCCAGCAGAGTTTCCAGTAACAGCAAAATATTTTTTTGCATAAGAGATGAATACAAATTTGATTGTAATTTTTGATGATTTAAAATATAAAAGTAAAGTTCAGAGGGATGGACTGATGAATCTTACAGTCTGAACTATAACTCCTTTTCTAAACTCCCTGGAGTTTGCATACGAAACCCTACGATGTGCCTACTGTTAGAGGATCAGCTCCTTCCACGTGAGAGCAATTTTTCTCCCCAGATATCAAATTACATTAAGCAGCATATTCCCACTTACTTTTCTCAGCAGAAATACTGCAGGGAAATGGATATAAAAGCTGTTTAATCACAAAGAGAAGTTAATTTGTTTAGTGTCTACGGCACAGATATGGCATTTAAGATGGAAAGAAATGATAGGGAAAAGGAATGTGAACACCACAGGCTTCAAATATAAAAGATAAAGCCTGATAACTTTGGTTCAAATAACTTTAATAATTATTACATGTATATTTTTCCAAAGTGGTGATTTCTATATGTACTGTATGCAATAGGAGACTGATTCATTTAAAACCAACCAACCATCAACAAACCTGTACAGGCACAAAAGACAGAACAGGACAGAGAAAACCTGGAAAGTCACATCCATTCAGAACAGTGTCCAAGTGATAATGATGCAGCAAAGGTTGAACTTAAAATAATGCAAATCTGTTTTCTTCAAAGTGTTTCAAAAAGCACAAATGGAATATTACACCCATTTTATCTCAGTGTCTACCATCTTGAGGGAAGGTAATATGAAACAAAATCAGTTCTGCAACAACTGTCAGAGCATCATGCACTATGCTGAGTTGGAAGGGGTCAATCAGAATCATCCAGTCCAACTCCTGGTCCTGCACAGCACAACCCAAGAGTCACAAGTGTCTGAGAGCATTTTTCAAATGCTTCTTGAACTCTGGCAGACCTGGGGCTGTGACCACCGCCCTGGGGAGCCTGTTCCAGAGCCCAACCACTCTCTGGGTGAGAAACCATTTCATGATACCCAACCTGAACCTTCCCCAGTCCAGCTCCATGCTGTTTCCTCACGTCTCATCACTGTCACACAGATCAGTGCCTGCCTCTCCTCTTCCCCTCACAAAGTGGTGTTACTGCAGTGAGGTCTCCCCTCAGTCTCCTCCAGGCTGAACAGGCCAAGTGACCTCAGCCACTCCTCACACAGCTTCCCCTCCTGGCCCTGCACCACCCTCATGGCCTCCTCTGGATGCTCTCTAATGGCTCAATGTCTTCTTTATATTGTGGCACCAACACCTGCCCCCAGCACTCAAGGCAAGGCTGTGCCAGCCCAGAGCAGAGTGGGACAATCCCCTCCCCTGCCCAGCTGGCAAGGCTGTGCCTGATGCCCCCAGGACAGGGCTGGCCCTCCTGGCTGCCAGGGCACTGCTGGCTCATGTTCAAATTGCCATCAAGCAGGACCCCAAGGTCCCTTTCCACGGCTGCTCTCCAGCCCCTCATTGCCCAGCCTGTCCACACAGCCAGGGCTGCCCTGTCCCAGGTGCAGAACTCAGCACTTGCCCTGGTTGAATTTCATATGGTTGGTGATTGCCCATCTCTCCATGATTTGTAAACAACTCTACAATATAAGTTACAATGTTAGGTTGTCAGAAATGAGCATTTTCATCCTCTCAGTTCTGGGATATCTGCAAACATCTGCTTGCCTTCCTTCTACAAGATTAATTACAGGATGTTAGCCCTGTCTCATCCCAATGCACCGCACAGTACACAACTTTATTGCCAGTTTGCAAAATTATTTGTTTGAACAGCACAAAGCCAAAGCTTCATCTTTGGTTAATTTCACTGAGATGTCACTGTTCTTTAAATGTGCTCTTTCTCCACATCAACACAGAAATCAGCCACGCTGCACACAGCATTCATTGTTTTCAGTCATAAAGCAGTGTCAACGCAATATTCAGTAATGGAAGCTAACTAAGAAATCGTGTTTAGAAATGAAACCTATTTGAGGGCATTTGGTAAGACACAAGAGCTGCAGAAATGTAGACAGAATTCCCTTAAAACTGCTTGGGTATGGGTGCTGCTTATAGAGTAGGCACTGGTTCGTTCTTCTGCAGGTCATCCACACAAGCAGGGCTTGGACTCAGCTGAGTTCAAATCCAGCAGCACATTCAATGGCATAGAGGAGCTTGCTTCGCATCAGGTTCTCGTCATAAAACTCAGGAAGCTTCAGCAAGTTCATGCAGGTACTGGCAGTAGGCAGCCTGTCTAAATCTGATCCTCCATTGTGAATGCAAAATGCAGGATATAACTCCTGGAAGATGCAACCAAAACAAAAAACAACCACATATCAAAAAAAGGTATACAAAAGCCAAAACTGCCCTGTAGCAGCTGGCACACATTTCTACAAAGTAAATCACTGGATGAAAACCTGTCACAATGACACTCAAGTGCCATTTCTTTCACTCCTCATACCACCAAAGCCACTATTGAATTGTGCAGTGTCTCCCTCTGCCTTGTCCCAACAAGATCTACTAATTTGGAACACAAAGAGCAATTTATGTGATTCTAAGGAAAATATAATGATTTGTTGTTGTTCATACAGTCTATGGTACAAATATGCAGTGCTACACAAACATAATATCAATGGGCATAGGGAGTCTGTAATGATAAAAATTTGTCAAACCCTGATTATTCTTTGATGCATTAACTACTGATCTGAAGAACATGCTTTAAAGACATTTTGTATGTAGTATTTAATTGGTTTAATAATATCCCATTTATCATCTTCCACAAAGTAGTATAGTGAAAAATATATTTATTTGTTACCTCCAAATCACTGCTTTTGCTGGTAACACAGTATTCATTTTATCAAAAGCTTGCCTGAGGTAAAAAAGTTCTGATTTCAGAAACTGGAAAAAAATTCCAGCTTCAAAGGCAAAAGGTCAATGAGATTCTAAGCTAAATTATTGTTCAAATGGAGGCCTTAAAAGTATTTCATGGCTAAAATGTTGCATTTTTAGTGTTCCTTTCAAAATGCTAATTGAATTCCCCTACTCTAGCTTTAAAAATGGAAAAATGGAGTTCTAAATTGAAATGTCATGCCAAGGGCACCATTTGTTGCATAATTAAATACTGTACACTGGGAAACTGCAATAGTTTGGAAGGGAAAAGTATCATCAATTTATTATGTGACCTGATTGGAACTTAACAATTTTCAACCACACTTTAATAATTCTTTTTTTAATCTGTAACAATCGCATTTATTAAACTTATTAAACTTTAATTAGCTTCAGTAAATGTTATTCTGAACCTGACTCTGGCAATGAAAGTTGAACATTTTTAAATGATGCAAAGCTAGACTATGTTATCTATAAGCTATGACTGTCAAGATATTTCCTAATCTTAAATTAACATGCACTGACTTAAAGAAAACATGCTGGTCCCACAATATAATGCATACATAGAAAACTTCAGAGTGAGAACCTGAAATACACAGAAAACTTCAGAGTGAGAACCAGAAATTGTGTTTCTCCCAGAAAAATACAGCACACACACTGGAAGTGCACACAGATTTTGAAGATGGTTTGTGTTCATGTCTCCCATCAACATAAACACGTTTTCATGCTTACTTGCCTGGCAATACTCAGCACTCCTGTGGCCTCCCACTCTGCATTTCCCAAGCTCCAAACAATGCCCTGTCAGAGGCTAGCAACACATTTCTGCTGATAACAAACACAGTCACCCACTGCCTTTCCAGGCAAGCCCCTGCTCTGGAGGCAAATCCCTGTTCACAGGTCCTGCTGCAGCCACCCCAGCTGAGGTCCCGCTCAGAGCCAGCAGAGCAGCTCTAATGCCCTTTCAGCTGCTTCCTCTGCCAACACTGCAGCCTGTGGCTGAGCATGCAAGCCCCTTGTACAGTGACTTCATCTTTTAACTTACTGCTTTCATGCTGAAAGTCTGGTGACTAATTTTCATTTTTTCCCAGCCATGTCTGCTACAGGCAGTTTGTGGCCCATCTCCCAAGTGAACACACCAACTGCAGCTTTCCACATTTAGCTTTTGAGTGTGCCACTGTCAGCCTGAACATTTTTAGACTTTTGAGTCACTTCCTCCATCTCTTCAAATGTCACACCGGATACCTCAAAGCTGGGTACCTACATCTGCATTTCCTCCTCTCCCCTTGTAATTAAAGAGGATGACAACCAATGGGAACTTCTGCTTACTTGGTTTCCCCAGCTGTTTCCCAGTTCTCCCTTCCTTATGTGACTGATGTGCACTGTTCTATCCTGGTCTCATCCCAAAGTTTTCCAATTGCTCTTCCTGCTGTCCTGTAAAATCCTATTTATTGCTAGAATATTGCACAGTGATATCTGCATGGACTTGGGGGGTTTAGGAGAAAAGCCTGCAGACTTTTAAATAAGGAATCACATCAATAGATAAATACCAGAGACAGGATTCATGTGATTCAACAGCCATGTCCACTGTCTCCATATCCCTATCTATGGACACTCTTTACTATTAAAGGGGATCTGGTTAGCATGTTTTGGGGAGCCTGAGACATGACTCATTTTATCCTGAAGCTGACACATGAACAGTCAGACCAATCAGCAACTGAAAGTGCCAGCTCCAATCCTAGATGTCTATAAAAGGAGTGTGGCTGAGCTATAGATTACAGATACTGAAGATGGAGGATGTTGCCCATCCATCCACATGGTAACACCACCACACAGCACTGAATGTTCCCACATTTTAGAGGAAATAATGGCTGGTTCTTAGCCAAAATTTTGCAGTCCACTGAAATTCATGGGTAGAACAACATCAGAATTTAGTTTCAAGATGTCTTCACCTTGCCTTGGCCTCTCTTTAGTTTTATCAGCAATACAGCAGATTTTGATACTTAAGCTTCCCTGTAAATAGCAATCTGGACTGCAGATTTTGCTGCTAAGAGTAATGAGATGTGAGCTATAAGCAGATAAATGGCAATTACAAGAAAACACATGTCCTGCTTCAAATGCTTAATTTAAGAGGATCAAATTTCATAACTGCTTTCATATTTTAACTTCTCTTTTGCCTGACTTAGAAGACACTAGGCTTAACCCAACCTGTTGCTTGAAACTGGTAGCAACTCTCCTTCTGCACAACATGAAATGGCAGCAAGGACCTTCCATCACACACAGCAAGTGCTCTAATCAGTGATTTGCAGGCTTATCAAATTTCATAGTTAAAACAGAAAGCAAAAGAACACTTCATTACATATTTTAAAACTGTTCTTATTATACATGCAAATGCAAACATTGAAGCTGTTTCTGTAGTCATGGATGAGAATTCTCAAATTGTAGATTCCTAGACAAGAAAAACTGGAACCAACATCTGCAGCATTTCTAAAAGCTTGCCAGGAAGTCAGAGGACATACCTTGAACCCCAGAAGAGGTGGTCGAGAACAGCTCGTTACAAATTTGAGCAGTTTGCGTTTCTCTTCATCAGTGAAGCTTTCTACAACCCTCCAAAATATTTTAATTACAGGATGGTCTGCTGTGTAGCCACCTACAATGAGATTTAAATGATTTACAGCTAGAATAGTTCTACGTAATAAATAAATTCTTCAGAAAACCTAGCATCAATCTTGAAGGTCTGGGGAAAATATTACAGCCAGCAGGCTTGTATTGTTAACTTCTGGTACCTACATATCTGTCATCACTGCAATTTCAGTTTCATTGCTAACCTATGGCTACTATACCCCTCAGCTTCTTAAATGCAGTTTTCTTCACTGAAGCCTATTTTCAATTAATTTTATTTAGTTCAGTATTTAGCTAGTAACTTCAGATTATTGCCTTTCACTCCAAGAGTGTGCAAAATCTGCAAGACCCAGGATGTTATTGAATGAATCCACTCACCCTGAGGTAAGCTTAGATGTGAACTGATGATTTGGTAGTTACATTTTGATTACATTCATGATAAATGCAGGGACAAATTAAGTATGATACCTTGCATTTTTCACAAGGAAAATATATGATCTCTAGTCAGACTGAGAAATGGTAAGTATCTAAATGAGGCAGTAGAAACTACTATCCCAAAGTAATTTGCAGACTTATTTTCAGATTGATCAGACACAGTCTAATTTTAATTTAGAAAATAAATGCCCTCAAATTCTCTGGCTATAAACTTGCATTTAAGCATGTGAAAAAAATAAACTGTGTATCTCAATTTCCTACTATTTATAGAACTGGGTTGTAATTTTAACCAATTTTCTGAATTTGGTTAAATTCAGAAACCAAATTTGGTTTCTGAATTTGGCCAAAAGTAACAAGAATGACCCTGCAACTTTTTTTTAAAAGGTAGAAAGAAAAGCAAGTTCAGTTATTCCCAAGTCAGTCATAGCAGATTTTTTTACTTAAGCAAAATATGCTTACCTGAATAGTTTGTGAAAGACTTAAGGTCATCCAAACTAATCGGAACTTGTGCACCAGAAGTCAGAACCTGAGGGCAAAGGAAATGAGAGCGTTCCATTAGAGGCAGAAATGAGCAATGATTTTTGTTAGGGGCATTTGCTGTGAGCAGCTTTAGGCACAGTACCTGTATTTCCTGCTGGTCAAACATGCGCAGCCACTCGAGGTTGACGACGTTGGCCAGCCCCTGGCGGAAGGCCAGGCAGTGCTGGCGGATCTGCTTGTTCAGCCGGTAGTCGGCCACCAGGTGGATGTACGCGATCCGGTTGGCGCTGGTGACGGGGATGTCCTTCCCACCTGGCTTCAGCTCAACCACCTAAAACACAGCCATGCTCATCACCTGGCAAACTGCACTTCTGTGCCCTAACTGGGAAATGGGGCTGCAAAACATTCTAGTCAGTGATGTATCCCTTTGAAGTTAAAACATTCTAGTCGGTGATGTATCCCTTTGAAGTTGGCTACCACACATTCAGGAATATTCACCTCAAAGAAGACAAAAGATTAGGAGGAGCTACAAAGGTACAAAGGTGTTTTCTCTGGTTATGTGTAAGAGCACATTCTGTGCACTCAGACCTCCACTGCCAATGCAGCTCATCACACAGCCCCATGGTTTGTCATCAGAAAGCAGGATTAGGCAAGCTGTGTTTGACTGGCTGGGCTCCTCCCCAGCTGCTGCTGGTGAATTCTGCAGGGTCACATTATGGTAAAGCAATGGCTGCTGTGTAGCAGCCCCAGAGCCTGCAAGGGCTCCCTGGGGGTCAGCAGCCTAGGATAGGAAATGCCTAGTCATGATGACTGGACCTTAGAAGCCCCTCTCTTCCCCCTTTGGACCCTTGCTTATCTCTCTGTAAGACTATAGGCCACTTTCCTTTGACTCTTACTATTGGACAATTTCTAAAACCCCTGTATTCTATAAAAACCTCTATTTTTGCCCAGCTCAGGAGAAGAGCTGTCACTGAGAACCTTCACAGAAGATTCAATAAAGACATTGCTGTGGAACCTCACACAGCCTTCTCCTCTCTCTCCCTGTGTCTGCCTACTGGCACCTAGCAAGCAAAGAGCTGAAATCACAATGAGCTGATAATCACTAAAAGAGCTGATATCACTTAAGCTTGCTAAGGTTGCCTGAGGCTAAAAACCTGCTTGGGAACTGGGACAGCCTGTGCTGAGCAGGGCTGGGCTATCCGGATCCACTACAGCCCGCTGGGGACACCCTGAAACCCGGCCGGAGGCTGCGGTACTGCTGAGTCAAAATCCCAAGCTCAGCATTCACAATTCATCCTGTGGAAAATGTACTGTTGTACATACTCAGTATATTCAATCAAAGTAAAAAAAACAACCAAACAAATCAAGTCTTACTGGGAAGCTCAACTTTTGTCCTTCAAGTACACCAAGGTACCTCAGTATGGGAGAATTTTTAAAGAAAAACTCCAGAACTAAAGACACTGTACTTGCATTAAGATATAAACCAGGTTCAAAGATAGCTGTAATTAGAACACTATAGGCCTTCACATAGTCTACTCTTTACTACATGAGGTTAATTCAGTTAAGCAGCAGCCCAATTGGAAGGTATTATTAGAGTACTTAAGAGAAGAATTTAAAAAACCTAAAAACATAATGCCATCACCTTCTAAACTCTTCCAAAAACTGTTGGTTTTTCCCTACACTCTAGAGTCAGCAATTTCTTCATTTAAACCAACAGTGCACTTCAGTATGTGGTAATAATGGGATCTTTAGAGCACAGAGAATTAAACACATGAAGAGCTGCTTTTCTAGCATGTTACCTAGTAATGCAAGCTGTTCATGTACTAAGCAAAATGTGCAAAACGGTATGATTAAAAATTCACAGTGCTTTTGAGCATTCAGACTTTTTCTTGATTCATAGCGCTTTATGACAAAAGAAACCATTAAGATCTGTGAATTCTGACCTCCCAGATCACAGGCCAAAGGATTCTGTCTAGAGATTCCTGTATTCAACTCCATAAATCCACAGATGAGTTAGAGCCCATTTTTAGAGACGTGCAATCCTGTGATTCTGCATCTACCACTTTCTTTGATAAGCTACCACAACCTGAATTACAACAGGTGTTAAAAATATGTCTTACTTCCCACTTTAATCCTTCAGCTGCAAGCTTCTGGCTTTTCTTAGCTCCTACAGTAAAAAAACTCATCAGTACTCCACCATGTCTGTGTGCAGGCACTGATAATGCTTAAACCCTACTCCTGCAAGAATTAAGCAAAAGGAAGGTGTCAGTGTAGGTGGGACCATTTCACACCCTATACAGATGACTTTGTTCCTTCCACAGGGGCCAGGAGGGCTCTCTGGGATCCATCACAGCACCTGGCCTGGGATACAGTCAGGGATCATTTCCAGAAGGGACAGGCCAGTGCCTGGGGCCAATGGCTGGCCTGAGGGTATTTTTACTGGTAAAGTCCACATGGAGCATCAATAGAAGTGTGGGACATGCTCCATACCACAGTGGAAACAGCTGATGGGAAGGGGCTCCTGCACTGCTGAGCTCTCTGTGCTTCATCCACTGTACTAATTTTACTACTGTTGCTGAACAGTCAATTATCTGATTAATCCAATTATTGACAAGAAGTATTCTAATTTTTACTTCAAATCCAATGGGTAAAGTTTGTTCATATCTACTATCCTTATTTCAGTGTTGAAGAGTTTAATCAGCTCTTCCTTCCTCCTCAAATATATCCATGATGTATTACTTAAAGGCAGGAACTTCATTCATCTTCCCAGAGACTTTTACATGGAACTAAAGACAGTTCTTTTAATTTCCTCTTATAAAATACCTTTTACCAAGCCTAACAAGACCAGAAAGCTTTCTCTTACTTCTTAAATTCTCATCCTCTTTAGCTTTACAAGATCAGAGCAACCAGAGATGTTCCACATGAACAGATCAGTGTTGTGACCTCAGTATTACTAACACTTCACTATCTACCCACTTACAAACCTTCTCTGCTTGTTTTGCAGAACTGCAGAATCCCTTGAGTTTTTGGCACCAATTAAAACAATCCCTCTCTCTGAGGTATGGACACACTGAATTAGGCCATTAAAATGCATTAAAGCATATCTGTATCACCTAACTCATCAAGCATCTCTTAAGAATATGCACACCCAACAATACACTAACAGCTATCACTCCATGTGCATACAACAATTTCTGTGAGCTCAGTATTTACACTAAAAGATGCTTGAACTGACCTCCTTCCTAAAACAGCCCAAGGGAACTACTGGCAGGGTGTTCTAGAAAACTTCTGTATTTTAAGTTCATCCCAGCACTAGGTGAAGTAAAATGTCTGACCTTCCCTGCAGGCCAGCAAACAGAAATCAGGACACAGATTAATTTACATTTGCGTTGTAATAGCACTGGCTCCACAGTGCTCTAGGGATGTCAGGAAAGCTGTATTCATTCTATAATAAAAAGCTGTTCTGTTCCTATAAAGTTCTTCCTTCAAAACAAAGGAAAAAAAAAGGTGTTGCACTCTTTCTGACCACTATTTTTAGAAAAGAGGACAAAGTTGTTTTGTTTTTTAAATACTATTATTCCTTTCATTTTTATATTTTTAAGTAGCAAATGTTGATTTCTGATCCAGCAACATTTCTGTAGCTGCCCTTCCTCCCCAGAGCCCTGCATTGGCACAAGTACAGGCACAGCACTCACTTAAGGGCATTTCCTGGGATTTTCCAGAGACCCAACTATCAATTTTCAGAGTTTGCCAGTGTGAAGATAATTTTACCACTGTTGTGTAAAAGTATCATCCAAGACCAAAGGAAAAGGGATAAAAGAACACAAATAACAAATATATTATGCCAAAAAGGCAAAGAAGGATGTAAAATAGAAACCAGTAACATTTGGTAAGCATAAAACTGAAGTAAAGGTAGATGCACTCTGTTTTCATGGCATTAAAGGAACTATTGTAGAATTTCCTCTTATTTCTAAAATTTAGGAATGATTGTTGAAGAGTCCCTTTTCAAAAAGGCCATAGCACAACTTAATAGATCTTAAACACGTAATCAGCTTCATTTTTATTTTATCCATCCAGTCTTGGCCACTAGATGGGGCAAGCCAATAACCCAGGTTACCCGGGACAGCCACACGAGGAAACCACTGTCCTGTGTCATCTGTTTCTGTTCTGCATATCTAAGTTTAAACAAACAAACAAAAAGCATTTTAACTTGGTTTGTAATCAAAACCGCATGTACTAAAGGCAATCAAACCATAGATATCCTTTAGGTGAGTATTCAGATTGTTCAGACAAATTTGATTCCCAACTCACAAAGTGCATCTTCAAAATGAAGGGGAAACACCAAAAGGGGACAGAAAAGTCCCATATGAAGACGTAAGACACTTTATCTCTTCACAGAATCACAGAATCTCCAGTGCAATATCATTAAGTGCTTACAGATATTCAAGAATTCCTACAAGATGTGAATCTTTTCTCTTGGGCTCTCATCACTTTTGTTCACATCACCCCTACAGTTTTTCCCCCTTTTGAAAAGAAGTCAATAAAGGGTTTTTCCCTTTCCCTGTCATCTGCCTTCCAGATGTTCATGCAGGAGTTCCAGGTAGGAGATTGCATATGAATGCCTAAAAATGCATTTTCTGTAAGTGTTAGGAGTCTGCCTGAGAAGGCTCAGCCTCAGCTTAATTACTTGGCTGCTGAAAAACCTCTAAAATCATTCAGCTAAGCCACTACATCCTAGTAAAGAGGTTGTCAAGACAAACTTTCAAAACTCTTTTTAGGGCTTCAAAATTTTCCCCCAAAGAAATTTAAAAGCAAAGAACTCCCCTTTGGTGAGTCAGCATCTTTTTAGAGACAGCAAGGGCATTCACATCTGTTTAAAAAGCCCAAGGTGTCCCTAAACCAAATTCTGTATGATATGGATTTCATAGAAACTGAGTATTTATTATAGTGCTTCTCTGTGGATTTGTGCCTTCACACTTTATTTATGGAATCTTCTGATCACACTCAACTTGTGATCCATGTACTCTCAAGTATCAGTGTGAGACTGATATTCTCAAGCAGAGTTTCTGGGTACAGCATCCAGAATTTCTGAAGGAAGAGGAATGAGTGTTTACATTTCCCTTTTGCCCTGGGCAGCCACAAAACCTGCTTTCCTCACTGAAAGAAGGGGAGGGAGAAAGGCCTGAGAAGAAAAGATATTTTCTTGAATTTGCTAACCTTATTCTTACAGACCTTTCCTAAGCATCTCATCTACAAGATAAAAGGAAAAACTAAATCAATATACAGACCTGTAACCACAGGCTGACCTCCTCTGAGACTTTGCTACTGGCCACCATTTTCTGCAGGAGACCCAACAGCTGAAATGTGGGCTGGTATCACTGCATTAGATAGATCTTTATCAAAAGCTATTTGGGGCTGGAAGATAAGGTTGATGGCATGGCTCCCCTAATTAGCAGGTCTAATGTGCAAATTATTAAGTACCTTTTTCAACTTCTGGTGAATGCACTTTGACAATAGTTTAATGGGGTCTAAAAGCACATTACAGGATTGGAATCAATACACTGATAATAGAATTTCTACCTTCTACTACTGACAGAGGCAACAGAGCCCCTTTTGAATGTGTCTTTCATTGCAGATAATGCTTTTGTGTCACAATTGGTGGATGGACACTGCCATGAGCAGAGCTATTTACAATGATAGATTTATGATGCATTTATTGGGCACTAATTTATTAAACACTAAAGTGGTTGTTTAGCTGAAAACTACATATAATGTACATTCAACCTAAGGAGTGCAAATTAAGCTCTTTTCCCAAAGTGAATTAGCCTTACCTTGGCACAATCAATTAGTATGCAATGGTTACAAGTCAAACAGCAGATAAAATGTATTTATCCATATGAGGTTTATTAAGGTTATGAAATGAAGTATAAAAAGAAACTTGTTGCATTGAAAGGCAGAAAACAGTGACAAGAACCAACGGGTTCTGTTGAACTACAACAGGCAGTGAGTCTCATAAAAAGATGGCTGATACTTTGTGAGTAAAATGTTCAAGTATAAAACCAGCAAACCATCATCAAAATATTTATTTTAACTTACATTTCACCTTGTTATTCAGTAACTCACTAATACATTAAATCTTGCTTTTAAAGTTAGGCCAAACAACTACAAATCATAAGTCTTGAAAATAGCAGCCAAAGCCCTCATTTTAGTTAGATGCTAAACCGGATTTGTGTTAGCTGTGACCAACAAAGCTATTACTTTAAGGAGAATTAAATAAATAGTTTTAGAATTCAGACTTTCCCCTCACTGTTAAAAATCCCAGATAATACTGGAAACTGCCATTTGGTGTGCTCTGCTCCCTGAAACCCAACCTCTGTGTGCTCAGCTCAGTACCAGCCACACAGAGCACTCAGAATGTGCTTTTGGGTCCATCTGCATCACACCGTTATCTCAAGTTTTTGAGTGTTTTTCTAAAGACAGTGCAGGTCAGATGTTTTCATATAGGTAGTGTAATTCAGGGAGGAAAATTACATATGGCACATGTTTAATATTAAATGTTACCTCTCCCCTTTAGCGTGCTTTAGGAATCCCAAATCTGAGGGTACTATTTTAAAATTTAACCCAATCCAGATTTTAGGATCTTCTACAATGACAGGAAATGAATGACAGGAGAGTAAGATAAAACCCAAGCCTGACTCTGTTCAAGCAGAAGTCCTGGCCAGCAAACTTGCCCTGACTTAGGGAGCCTCAGAGAATTCAACTCCCCATTTCGAGGACAGGTCAGTGCCCCTCACTGGAGATGTGCTCAGTCCTGGCCCTGAGCAGCAAACCCAGAGCACTGCTCACCCCCTGCTGGAGTCTGTTCCTGCCTCACAACAGGAGCTGAATTCAGATCTGCTGCTCATCACAGTGTGGTCAGCTCTACTTTTTTCATCCATTATTTGCCATAATCAAGTGTAAGTTTGGAATCCTCAATTTTAAATCCTCAGAACTGAAAGACGAAGCATGACAGAAGACTTTACCTAGGAGGTTACCTGCATTAGCACACTAAGGCAGGCTTTTAGAGCTCTAGTGATATTTATTTTCTACTATGAGTGATCTTCAGTAGACACGACAGAGCAAATAAAAGCTGTAAACAAATTATATGGTGCAACTGCATTAAAAACTCAGACTTAAGGACCTAAGTAACTGCTTTTCAGAAACACTAACACCATTCATCCCCTCTGACTAATCTGGTATCTCAAGCCTTAAAAAAAAAGGGGTGGGGGCTAATAAAAAAATTGAGGTTGATCAAACTTCAGGCCCTCTTACTTTGTAAATTACAGATAAATGAGACAATACTTATCTCACAAGAAAGAGTCTTTACTATCAGTATTATTTAAAACCTGTTTGATTGCTACCTGCAACTCTAGAACTAGGCAGTACTTCTGTAGTTTACACATCAAAGTTTTGCTATTATTACAAGTGCAATTGAAGAAACGATTTTTTTTTCAAGAAAGATTCTCAAGCAATAGAACTTTATATGTATGACTGTTAGAAAATCACTGCAGTTTATTCCTTAAAAGACCAGACCTTTAAGTAATCATCAAAAGTTTTTTTTTAAAGTACACAGTTAGCTACTCTCTACTCCAAATACTGAACCACAATTCCAACTGATGACTTACAGCACCTGTAACAGCTGTTTCCCATCATATTTAAATTAAAAGATTAATTAGTAGGGATAGTAAAGATTCATCAGTCATAGATGAAAAGAAAATAAAATAAAAAAGAAACTAAAGAAAATAAAAATTCAAAGCCATTCTTACCTGTGCTTCCCCAAGGTCATTATTTACCACAGTGAAGTTGAGTCCAAGTTCTTCCACATCTCCTTCATAGCTCTTTAGAAAAAGCAAATTTTTGTACATCTCTGGGTCTAGTGAAGCTAAATGATGGATGTCAACATCAGCACTTGTCCCTAATAATTTTGAGAGGAAGAAACTAGCAAATGGCAGCTCCACCAGCATATTTTCATAAAGAGCCTGAAAAATAAAGCAATTAAAAGCACATTAGATATTACTGTTTGTAGATGCAAGAATTCAGAAGGTTTCTCAATTTTTGAGTAATTCTGTCCTAATTTGGTGCCTGAGTAGGCTCTTCTAGCATGGAAATAGCTCAAATATTGCATAAATTTAAGAATATTCATCCAAAATTTGAAATGTGAATATTCTTGCAAAATACCAAGGTCCCAAATCTCACAAATTAATTATGTTGTGATTTAAAATGCAAGGTCATTGCTTATCTGTCATTATTCTTTATCCAAACTGCATTTATTTCAGGAAAACTAAGGTTTGCTAAAGGACAATGCAACTGCATCAAGGTCTTACAAAAGAAGTTTACCCCTCTACTTCCATTGGCAGCATTATTCCATTCATATCAATCACTGCATGTAGAACTGTCATCCCCCTCATCCACTTAGAATAACTCTGCAAACCCAGCACATTTTAAACTAATAAAAACTATCTGGTGCATGTTACAGAGATTCACCTTTGGTGAATTTCACTGCTCTGATGACACAGTCAAAATATCCAAAATATCCTCCTTTCCGAGCCAAGAGCTGACCAGTTCTGTGTCACAGGTCCAATCCTGTCTGTGCCTGATGTCAAAAAATTCATGAACCAAACATGTACCTGACCCAAATCTGTTGACTGCAACCTCAAATTATCCCCAGGAATTTTCACATACCACTCTAGGTTCATCCACTGTATGAGCACATTTCCATGTAATGTAAAGTATCTTTGCACTGTTTTTTATTAAGGCAGTAACAACTGCTTGCTTGGAAGAGAAAAGTACTTATGGTAGCTCTCAGAAGAAGGAGAGGTGCACCCTTCAGGGCTATTCTGAATAAAGCACCACTGCTTTAAAAAGCCCATTCCTAGTACATGCTGCCCTTCTCACTTTCCACTCTGTTTGCCACATCAGCATCTCTACCAGTGACAACCAAATCTTTACAGAAATTTAATAGCAATGCTAGGCTGATCAGACAAGGCATCACCAACATAACATCACTGTAACATCATTGTGTGCTCCCTTTTAAGTCTCCAAGAGCAGAGTTTTGGTGTTACTGAATTTCTTCATAATCTGCTGCAAACTTTGAAAAGGAATCCCACTGAGGGGGAAAAAAAGCCAAAACTAAAAAAAGATGAATAGATGCAGCTCTAATCACTCAATGATATTGCAACAAAGACTTTAAGAAAAATATACACAATTCCTTAAACTTCTGAAAGAACATTTTTCTATGAGGTGAGTTAGACCTTGCAAAAAAAACCTGAGAATAACGAGTTCAAAGCCAAAGGGTGCATTATATTTAGAGCCATATGATTTATTCAAGGTGTAGAAGTCAAAATCCTCATTTGTATAGCTGACTTTAAAAGCAAACTAGAGGGATAAATCATTAATTTGCAATGTGTAAGGTCAGTGTTTGCTGTTCCTGCATTAGTAACAATAAAGCTATTGTAATTCCTTAAATATATCAAAGCTACCCGAATTTAAAATGGAATTCCATCTGTGACTCATAAAATGTAAATGCAGAGGTGTAATTTTTTACACAAGGCAGGTTTAAGCCTTTAGAGCATTCAATATACAAGGACTAATAAATGATAGCACTAAAAACTATGATCACATCAGCTAAATGGATTATAAATTAAATTTCCATAATGTATGCAACTGAAATACAAATGTAGACATAAATCAAGGTATTTTCTAAACACAGGTTAATTACACAAATTCAAAACCTGTCTATTTTTTATGCAAAATAATCCACTTAGCATTTTTCAAACTGGTCTTAAGTCTTCACCACTTGCAACACTTGATCCTAGAAGCCTATCAATAATTCCTTGTCAGGAAGAAAACAGCAATAGGTATATTGAAGAAACTTGTACGTTATTTTTCAAGTGTCTGTCTTTTATGAGTGTTTATTGCAAGAAATTGTGCCAAAATGATTTGAAATAAAAAGGATTAATTATGGTAGAAGCTTTTTAATATAAGTGAGTGCAGCTGCAATGCAATTAATGCAAATTGTGATGCTATCAGGAAAATAAATGTGAACAACATCACTGGCTATTTCTGTTTGCTGCCAAATAACTTCAGTAATTTACTACATTAAGAATCAATAAAAAAATAATGCATTTCAAATGCATCACTATTAATCTTCAGGTAGTTCCAAAGTGAACATTTATAACTTCATCTAAAAACTATATAAAGCATTTTTAAATAAACTAAATTGTGCAACTTGAGAATATCTTTAATTACTCCCTCTCTTAGCTAAGTGATTGCAATATTCAAAATAAAGTATTTTTGGAAAGAAGACAAACAGTAGTGTTTTAATTAGTTTGAAAGTCAAGCTATCCTAATAAAGTTTAATAAAAAATGCACTAAAACTCTGGTGAATAAAGTCATGATGAAGTTGGGTTTTACTTCAAAGAGGTGAAGGCCACCATTACAGCCCCAGAACTGCAGAGAAGCTGAGAAGTGCTGTGTACAATATGAGTAAATAACTGAAACTTTTATTTTCTGGATTCCATCTAACTTTTCTGTTTCTCAGTCAGCACAACTGATCAGACTACCTATTCTTGCTAAAAATGTGATTCCACACATTCCTGCCAGGGCAACAAAACCCTCAGCTGCTGATTGCCCTGGGTTTGTTTGCAAGCAGAGCAGTTGGACAGTGGAGGCTACAAGGTCACTACAACCTGAATAAGGTTCACAACTTCCAGATTATTTTTGCTGTGGTTTTTTTGGGCTGTTGGATTTGGGGTTTGCAGGGTGGGTGTGTGTTGGTGGCCACAGCAGGGACACTGAAGTTTCTTCTAAATTAGAGTAATTTCCAGCTCACAGCCATGGCTGAAACAGGGCGGGAATTGCAGAACAATTTGTTTTCACCAGGAGCAAAACCTGCCAGCTGCCCATGGAAGCCCACCCTGATGGGGATTTTACTAATGCTAAATAAAAGCCAAGAGGGAGACTCCCCTCCTTCCTTGCTTTTCCATACTGGACTGCCTTGGGAAGCTGTAAGTTACCCTGTTTTTAAACTCAGTTTTTTGTCTGTCTGAACTCTGAACTGGCTTTCCACAACATCAACATCAAGGAGGCAGGAGCCCAGATCAGCAACAGGCTAGGGAATGGTGACCACCTCCCCAGAGGAAAGCAGCTCTGTCAGATTAATCAGCTGCAGTGTGAAGCTGCACCATTAGACTACACTTACACAGTCCTTTAATACAATATATGGTCACGCTCTCCACACAGATCTTGTTCTCTTTCTTCCTCTCACAGCCAATGAGCAACAACACTGATGGCAGAAACTGGCTTGCTCTTGGACAGAGATGTCTTCTTCTGTTTGGCTAAATCAGAGCTTCCTGTCCATACACTGCTCCAGGAGTTCAAAGCCAGCAAGTTTACCCAGTTTAACCAATGTCTGTTTTAAAACTAATGTTTAAAACTTTGAATACTCTCACCTTTTCAGAAGCTTCCTCTGTGCTTCCTCTGCTTCCTTCAGAAGCTTCACTGTGCAGCAACCACCAATGGAACTGATGCCCTTCTATGCTGAGCTCTGACAGCTCCCATCCCCAGCTTTCCCAGCTGAGCCCCTGACCCCACTGGCTCTGCCCTGCAGCCCCTGAACTGCACAGGCCTGTGGAAGGCAGAGAGTGCAGATGGGAAGTCATGAAAGCAGCAAGTGGTGGCCATGGATGGCATCAGATTTCCACTTTCTAATGTTCAGATGTGGGGGTCAACACCAACAACCTCAGCCCACCCTGCAGAGCTCAGCCTCCCTGCAAGGCTGGGCTATGAACACTTCAGCTGGACAGAAGGGCAATTTGAGGTACAAACTTGGGGTAAGAGGCTGCTCTGAAGCACAGGCAGTGATGTTCACATCAAGGGCAATCCCACAAGCACGGTGATGCTCACAGGGTGACACATTCCCAAGTAGCTAAAAGGCAATTTCTGCTGAAAAGGCCAACCTGGATTTCCCAGCACTCTTTCAAACTCATGTAGATTATGGATGCTCTTTATTTAAAAGCTGACATCTCTATATATTAAAAAAAAAAAAAAGTAATTTAAAAGCTTCTGAAATGACTAAACAAAAAAATTTGTATTGCAATAAAAAATTATTTTTAGTACTTTACAACCCAGTGTTCTAATTATGTCAAATCTTTTCTATTTTCTGAAGAGATGGTTAAAATGAGGGTTTTTTCTGGTTAAAAGGCCAAGAGGAATTATTTCACTATGGAAAAAATAGTATTCAGTGAAAGGAACTTCACCCACCTATCTCCCCCTTTGTGAGAATGACTGCAGAACACACTGCAGAATATTAAAAACAACCAAAGTAAGAGAAAGCCTACTGTGGTTAGGAAGTTTTCATTTCACATGCAGTCTGAAGTTATTCCTCTTTTAAATACCCTCAGCCACCTGTGATTACAGTGCAGTTCCACAGTAATTGATTGCTACAGGGAGTGGCCTTTACTCAGTTTGGTGACACAGATCACAATGTGGGCATTTGAAGTGATGAAAATATCATCTTCAGACACAAATATACTGAATGCACTCACTACACAGCTGTGATGTGGAGGAACAAGAAAATTCTTTAAAGTAAGCACCTTTCAGAACAGAGGCATGCAATTAATTTCTGTAATACATTATGGAAGAAGGATCTGGGCTGAAGGACAGCTGCACATAGTGACAAAAAGAGAAGGATGACATTTCTCTGGACAAGGAGAACTGTCATCCTTTCCTTCTTCCAACAAAATAACAATTGTGCCTGACAGAGACTACACATGTAACTATCACAACACCATTTAAGTACTCCATAGGGTATTGTTCTCCAATACAAGGTATTGTTCAAATATGACCCCAAGATTGGGGAACTGCTCTTCAGAAAGAGAAGATTCCACACCACATTTTAAATTTGGACAAAATGTAAGCTATTGGAGTAATTTCAACCAGATTAGCCATACACAGCAGAAGTTACACAAGCACTACAACA